CTCTCTCTCTCTCTCTCTCTCTCTCTCTCTCTCTCTCTCTCTCTCTCTCTCTCTCACACACACACACACACACACACACACACACACACACAGGTATAGAATGCCTCAGCCAGCATGGTCCGCTAAGCGGGAAGCCAGTTTTGGATTCGGCGTGCTGGACATCGTCAATGGAACACATGCGAGATGGCTATGGCATAGGAACCAAGATCCGGAGGTGGTTCTTGCAGATGATATCTGGTTGCGGTCGATGGGAGATCCCATCCATCCATGTCACACACATCATCATCACTTCTAAAGTTTTTTTTTTTTTTTTTTTTTTTTTTTTTTGGGAGCAAAAAGCCTTGACCAAATGAGGCGTCTCTCGTGCACACGTTAGCAAGCAGCAGCAGTAGTAGCCCTATGGCCCCGTGACACATTGGGGACAATCAGCTCAGTGGACTCTGCGGCACAGTGTAACAGTCAGTTGAGTGGGCACGGTGGGCACGGTGGGACAATTGAGAAAGGACTTTATGGCACAGTGGGACGGTCGGCATACTGTCACAGTGAGACAGTTGGCACAGTGGGACACTTGGCACAGTGGGACAGTGGGACAGTTGGCACAGTGGGACCGATCGCACAGTGGGACAGTTGGCACAGCCCTGGAGGGACAGTGTGACAATTCAGAATGAGCTCCTTGGCACAGTGGCGTACTCAGCATGGGGGAACAATTGCGAGCGGACTTCACGGCAGAGTGGAACTATGTGCCACGGAGTCCCATTCTCAATTGTCCCACTATGCTAGTGGGACAGTCGGTACAGTTGTCCCACTAGCATAGTGGGACAATTGAGAATGGGACTCCGTGGCACAGCACGACAGTCGGCGCAGCTGGCACCAAGGGACAGTTGGCAGAGTGGGACAATGGAAAAGTCATCATAGTGGGACAGTTAGTAGAGTGGCACAGTGAAACAGTCCTTACAGCCGGCACAGTGGGACAGTTAGCACAGGGGAACACCACTAGAATTTTAGAATCAGCCCTAACTTTTCCTGGTGAAGAACAAAGGCACTAGAAAAATGCAGATACATACACTAGAAAAATGGTGATCATCCTACTTGCTTGAGGTGCTTTCGAAAAGGGGGAACAGTTAGCACAGGGGAACACGACTAGAATTTTAGAACCAGCCATAACTAGAAAATGCGGATATATGCACTAGAAAAATAGTGAATTTTAAGAGTCAGGAGAAGAAGTGGCACTTGCCTGTTAGCCTCTCTTTTTTTTTGTTTTCCTTTTTTTTTTTTTTTAACCATCCGGAGTCGGGACCCCCCGCGTATCGGAGCGGAGGGCTTGCCACATAGACGCATCAATAGCTTGTGTCACGTGTAGCACCTGATTTGGAACACGCCTTCAACTGCCTCTGTTTTTTTCAACATTTTTAAATGATTTTTTATTTTTTTAACATTAGACTTCAATTTAACTTCTTTTTTTTTTTTTTTTTTTTTTTTTTTTTCAAAATGACGAAGTTGTACTCGGCGCGTCGATTTGACATTAGATAATAGATATTCTATTCCTCAAGTTGGTATTGAAAAGTGGAAAATGTGTATGTAATATGTATGGTATATTCATTGTATAGAGTCTATAGACATTTTATAGAACAGGAATTTGTTTATTCAAGTGATGGGAGAGAGAATAGGAGAAAGGAGGGTTACTGTACGGTCTATTTATCGCTATAGACATTCCGTATGACGGGAATTTAAATGGCGTGAGAGAGAATAGGAGAGAGCAGAGTTATGGCAGAGAATAGGAGAGAGGAAGTGAATGATAGCACAGAATAAGAGAGAGGAGGGGAACGATGGGAGAGCGCAAACATTTCTTGCTATTTCAAACTCTAGTCATCATCCCTGGGCCTCTTCCCCTTAAACCCCCCGTACACGGTCCCTTGAGCCTTGTGGAGATATCATTTCATGAGTTTTCATCACCTACAAAAATGTCGGGGGCTCGTGGCTACCTGACAACAATAGCCGGCGACGCCAGCGGAAAATGAAAAAAAAAAGTGCAAAAAGCTTGCTGCGCAGTGCGGCACCGGCAGATCTGGGCAGGTCCGGGCAAACCGGCAGTTTAAACTGCAGCAGGGTACGCACTGCGACTCGTGGTTGGACATAGTACTACGCACATGTAGCGATCAGTCAAACCGCCAGCGATGAGTAAAACTGGCGGTTTTACTGATCCCTCTGTTCCCTCCTGGTCATTTGGGGTGCGCGACTCGTGTTCGACAAGGGGGAAATGGAAGAGTGGCGTGCGGGCAACGAACGTGAATTGTGGTGGAGGGGGGTTCTGTTGGATTAGAAGAGAAAGAAACGAAACAAAGGATGCTGTTGGATTCGGCTCGGCTGCGCATTGTCAGGTGACAGGGCCATTATCATGTCAGCCGTCTGGCATGGCTGGGCAGGTGGAAAGTGAAAAGCATCGTAGACAGCTTTGGCGGGGGCTCGTGATGATTGAATGTACCAAGCCGGAAAGATGGGCATGAAACGTATGTTTGGGAGTCGTAGCGGGTATTTGCAGTCATGGCCAGTGGCGGTCGCCGCTCACACAGAATTGCGGCCAGTCCACGTACGAAACAGTCGGTGTAAGCAGATTTACACCGTGTTTACAAGCAATGTCCCGAGGGCAAAAGAGAGAGAGAGACGGTCGACATCAAACCGCGAGACATGTCCTTATGTCTCATTTCCGTTCTGTTTGCCACGTAGCCCGCCGGGGTTGTTGACGTGAACGGCGAGCGCGCTTGTTAGCATCTCATCTTCGTGGGATGGAAGTTGTGCTTGGATCCTCATGTCTGGTGTCATTGTGGGCTTGCACAGCGGAGCGGGTTCGTATTCATTCTGCAGTCTGTGACGGAAGCAGTGGACGCACTGGGCGGTGACGTAGCGCACAGTTGGCCGGGGTGGACCATCGTCTGTGTTGAGATCAGCATTTGATGTCAGTACCACGATAGCAGTTTTCTGTCCTTTTTGGCCGTTTGGATTCTTGTCTCCGGCATGTCGATGGAGGGTTGATGCCGCAGGTGTGATTTGCCCGCGTGTCCCACAAAGTTGAAGACCCTTGGTGGTATCCTCAAATTGCCGCTGTGTCCTCGTCGGCCACTGTCTATTGTGTTGCACTCCGTGCTCCGATGTGTTTGTCATGTTGGATGCAGTGCAGACGAGCGTCTGTTTCCTTGTGCGCACGTGTGCGTAAGTTCGAACGAAAGGGCAAAAAAATAAAATGTTTTGTGAACGGGATCAAAAGGAGCTCGTCTACACTGTCGGCGATCATGAAAAGGTTCCACGTTGTGATCGGTGGATGGTTCTTTCGTGTTTTCGCATCAAGAGGGTTTGTCTCTTTGGCCAGTCCGGCTATCATGAAAAGGTTGACGTCATGATCGGTGGATGGCTCTTCTGTTTTTGGCATAAAGCGGCTTTCTCTCTTCGGCGAGCTTCTTTCGCTAGTGTTCCGGTGATCAACCGTCATCCTCAGTAGGGGGCGATCGTACCAGCTTGGAGTGTTGAGCAGGACTTTGAGTGTCCAGGTTGTTGTCTCAGTTGTTAGCCCAGGTGTTGGCTGTTGTTGCCACGGTATGGACGGTTTTGTCTTCTCTTTGTTTTTTGTTTTTTGTTTTTTCCCGTGGATGTGTCTATCATTCAGTGATCCTCTCTGTTTATCGGGTAGGATGGTCGCGGGGGGGAGGGAGTGTTCTTAATAGCAACAGGTGAGCTTTCTTGCTTACCGGCATATCATCCTCTGGTGTCATCTGATGCCAGTGCCGCACCGAACAGCGTGGAAAAGAACAGACATTGCCATCAGCAAACGATGGTGTTGTTCTAGGTGTGTGTGTGTGTGTGTGTGTGTGTGTGTGTGTGTTTTTGTGTGCGTGTGTGTGTGTGTGTGTGTGTGCGTGTGTGTGTGTGTGTGTGTGTGTGCGTGTGTGTGTGTGTGTGGGGTGTGTGTGTGTGTGTGTGTGTGTGTGAACAAGCATGTGTTTTCTTTGTGTTGTTGTTTTTCATTTTTCTGTACGGACTGTTCTGTGTGACAGTGTGTTGTTGCACGACAAAAGTAAATTCCTTCGATCTTTTGTAAATGAAATATGACAGTCTGAACCCAAAACAAAAGAAAACGCTCTTGCGAGCGCGGCTCGCCAGCAGAGCAGAGTGGGCGTAAGTAGATTTGAACTACTGACTTTACACTTATCAGGCGTATACTCTAACCAGTTAATGAAATATGACAGTTTGAGCCATTGATCTTTTGTGTAAATTGTAGAATGTCAGCTTCAGGACTGATACCTTCGATCACTCAGATATCCATCCAAAGCTAAGTCCCCCTTCTGCTTTTCACTCCATTGAAATCATTGCTAATGAAACGAATGATATATCACATAGTGACAGCTCTATCCTCTTAAGAAAAATACCTTTACTTTGTTTCCCGTGTGTGTCCGTCGCTCATACGCTCATCTACATGTATTGTGTGTTTATAACTCGTTTGTTTCGTTTTTGCACTATTCATATCACGGCCGGTGTTGGACTTGTTGCCCATCGAAACTTTGCGCGATCTGTGACAAGCAGTCATTGTCCACCCTAAGCAGAATGCCTTCTTCGTCGATTCATCTTCCATTGAGAGACGTGTGTTCCTTTTGGTTCGGTGGTAATATGCTTAACCTTCTCTGGCAGCAAGTGATGCATAGAAAACACACGGAGGCTAAAAGCCTAAAACTTCCGGTCCACAGATTCCGGCGGCCCAAAACTGATCGCGAAGTGAAGATGGATTTCTCTGCAGTGCTTCTTCTCATGCTTGCCCTTGGGTTGTCCCAAAGAATCCCGAAGCATCCAACTTCATCATAGATCAGCACGAACGTCTCCTGCCCGCATTCCTCCAGCATGATGCGCAAATACACTTATGCGAGTACCACTAAACTATGTTCTGTCCCAGACGGGCATCCTGGCAAGTTTCACAGTTCGTTTTTATTTTGCATCCTCGGGTCTCCCTCCACGACCCACCCACCAAAAAAAGAAAAAAAAGAAAAAAAAATATAAAAAAATCAATCCTGAGGCTGGAGTCTTTCAAGATCGCAAGTGCATCCCCGTCCCTCCCTTCAGCGTCTCCAGCAAAATCAGTCAGCCACACTCATTACGATAGCGAAAGTGGCTTTTTACGCTCGCGACAATAGCTTTGTAAGTTTTGCTTCGATCTCACAAACTCTCCCATTGTTACGCTCGAGACAAAGAAAGCGACTGAGGTTTGACAAAAGAAAAACGTTCACACTGGCATGGCGTCACCTACCTCAGTCGTACACCCATTAACTTTTGAAATAGTCAACTTTCCTGCGCAAAAGTACCTCCCCGCATCATGTAGCTACAAGTTGAAATCGAGTCTCTCTCTCATCGTTACTTGTATCTCCTATGCCAAATCCTAGACGATGGACATCTCCTTAGGGACAAACACGACTAAACGACATCTTGAATCGCTACAGCCTATGTGTGATACTGGCGAGATCCAGTCGAATGATTTTTCTCCTCAAATTCCGAGGACTCTAACTTCGAGTGGTACTTCCTGCCTAACTCCAAAGAGACCTGCTAATAGAAAAAAGCACTGCCTTCCAGTAAAAAAATCATTTGACTGGATCTTTTTTTGTTTTGTGGTCTAGGTATCTGCTTAGCCTAAGCAGGTTTTGCGGTAGCTTTTTTTCTTTTCTTTTTTTTTTTTTTTTGGACCATTTCTCGATATATGCGTGTCATCCTTGCGCAGGGACCAATGCTAATCTTCTCTATATCGTTCGAATTTTTTAACGGATGTCCCGAAGGACTTACGGTAGCTTTTAGTTTTGTGGGTGTTGTTTTATTTAGTCCAAAAACTTTTGGCAAAACTTTCAAGCCTACTTTGGAAGCAAGAAGTGAATCTGTTGTTTCGAAATTACGACAACTCACGAGTATTACTCAAGAGGCTCTGCTGTCAGAGTTATTGGAACAACATGAATTACGTAGTATTAGTTTGCATTGGAGTATGCCAATGATTGGAGAATAATGTATGAATGATATGATAACATGATGTGCACCAAATTGCAAACAAATCGTTATAACCCCTATTTGCCCATACCAAGAAAACCAGGGGTCCCGCTCCTGTCGTCCTAGGACCAGACTATCCACCAGCCGTTCTCTTCTTCTTTGTCTTGTTCCCTCACACCTCCGTCGTCATGCCGGCGGCTTTTGCAATCAAATTCGCACTAGTTTCTACCCGGCGGCTTTTGCTTTCCAACATTTCAGTTTTGAGGACACTGAACCCTTTTTTTCTCCTCTTCTGTCCTGAACCAGGGTCACACAGTAGAGAAAGGCACTACTCTTCCCCGCCCTCCTGTTTTTTCAGGGGGGGGCTGAGAAACAAGTACCAAGTCAGCAAGTCAATAAAGTGAAAACAAAATAAATACAAATCCACAAAAAAAAACGATGTTGAGCGTTCTCGATAATCATTTTCAATACTGCATTCATTATCCAAAAATTAACATACATGATCAAAGTGTCAGTACGACAGACCCTAAATTGGCGCGCGTAAAGTTTTGCGCTCGATTGAATCGGACTGCGCCCCCGCCCTGGCCAGAGCATTGAACGCACAACCTCTTTGTGGTTTACATTGCCATGGCTGGTGAATACAGCTATCCCCCGCTCGCTCCACATCCTCCCTCCCTCCCTCCCTCCCTCCTCCCTTCCACTCGTCGATGAACAATGCATGACTTGTTCTCCGCACGTTCCGTACCACCACCACCTCTCTGTACAGACTGGTTGCCCTTTCACACCCCGCTGCCGCACTTTGCAAACTTTTCAGAGTCCTGGATGCTAACCCGCAACTGAAACAGACTTAAGCCGACGGGCACTTCTCTCCAAATTCCCTAAACTACTACAAGCATGACTACTACGGAGTCGAAACCAGACAACGTACTGTTGATTTACTTTTGCTCCAGGCCTAAAACTGTTGCTTTACTTTTGACTCTGCAAACGGTGCCATTGCCGTTGTTGCTAGAAATCATAGACCCATAACTGCAAGGAGGTATCAGATCCTAGGCACACCAGTTCAATAGGTTTAGAGTAAGACTATAAATAATGTCCAAAGGGTTACAGCCTGAGAGCTCTTTTGTTTGGCTCTTCTTCTTGTCATCGCCTTCGGTAAAAAAAAAAAAAAAAAAAAAAACATTTCTTCGGTAATTGTCATCAAGCTGGAGAGTGGCGAGGCGCTTGGAATTATTGACATTATTCAATTCGTACTTCATAGTCGAATACAAACTATCCCCTCTGTCTTGCACTGCACCCCTCTTTCCAGTATGGTGTGGATCCGTCTCTCCAAATCTGCTTTGTCGCTGCCGGTATCTGTATGGAAAAACATGTTCGTGATCTGCTACTAGATTGCATTCCGCTCAGTCACATGGCAGAAGCTCATACATCTCGGTTCATTATGCCCGAGCAAAGAATTTGCGATGTGGTGTGTATGTAGGGCTACCAGAGTGGACGTGGACCACTTGCCTGGCCGGACCAAAAAAAAAAAAAAAAAGAGGAAATTGAACCTCCGTTTATTTGCGCCTCTAACGGCCGACTTACCCTTCGCGCCCTTTCTGAAACGATTGAAGTTGCCGAGAAATTTCCAGTATACCCAGGGGCATGCTGGAAATTCCGAACCAGTACCGGTAAGGACACATTGAACATACTTCATACCCAAAAGCATTTCTCGCATATCGGGGAGAGAGAGCAAGGGATCCCTTTCACACATATCAGAGGGCCCCTGCAGGTAATCTGAAGAGTCATCACACCAAAATTGAGGCAGGCAACAAGTAGGAAATGGCGTAGGAGCTGGCGGAATCTATACTCTGGATTGGAATTCCGGTCTGTCTGTGTTTCAGCAGTTATGGGTTGCTCACGTAGCTAGGCCCTGTTGGTCTCTGCACGTGATTCTCAGGGCTTGGCTGCACTACTCGCCAAATGCGCAAAATTAGAATGAATCTTCTCCTAGATCGTGGAATAATATGCCTCCGTATGTTTTTTCTTTGGTGCATGTGGGGTGGGCACAAGCCCTTAGGGCCACTGCACATATTCCTAAGAACACAAAAACGAAAACGAAAAACAGAAAATCATTGACCCACAACCTGTGATACACAGACCTGCATTTGAATCCACAATATATATTCTCGGCCCACTCTAGCAAGACTGGAAGTCTATAACCGCCTATCACTGCTTCACGAGGGGTCCTTGCTCATTTGTTTGCTGTAGTGGCCCTTCAGAAAGGAGACAACGAGGACTTGCACACCGACACGCACACACATGCACTCGCTGTTCGGGGTATAACGTTCCCCCGACTTTTGTCCCTCTTGCAGTTTGATGTTTAGAAGCGATGGGCATGTTTGGCCACCCCAACCTAGCGTTTTTTTTTCTTTTTCATTTTTCTTTTTTTAATTTGGACCATTTCTCGATTTATACGTGTCATCGTTGCGCAGGGGTCATTTTTTGCTAATCTTCTTTCTCTGTATCGTTCCAATTTTAACGGATGTCCCGAAGGACACCCCGCCCTTTCTTTTTTTTTCTTTTTTTGCCCCGCCTCACGTGCCGTGAACCTGCGCACGGCATGCGCCGCAAGTATGGTATTTGGTAATAAGCGCAACTGAAGGTTCAGAGTTCAGTACTTCAGCACACAAGACGATCAGGCGTGCACCTCTCACAGCGACGACTTCCATCTGAGAAACCACTGCCCGCTTAACTTGCCGAAGGTGAGGGCATGAGGCCTTTTAGAGAGATCTGGGGATATGCTATGCGGGCGCATCCTTAGGGACAGCTGGGGGTTGCTGACGCAGGACGACACTGGCCGGAGCTGAAGTGAGTCACGTTGCTCTGTAACCTAAAAGATAGGGGGCGTCATTGTCAGAGAATAGGTCAGTTTTGGTGAGCTTTGTTATGATGATCTGTTGGAAGTCCCTTAAGACACTTGAGTCTTCGGAAAATTGCTGTCGATTTCAGGAGGTGTTTAGCAACAAAAAAAAAAAAAAAAAAAAAAAAAAAAAGGGCCTTTCCAGGCCGTATCTGACCTCCATTGTGACGCGGACGTTTCCGACTGCAATTACTTCCAGAGACATGTCGGAAAGGACATAGTGCGAGTATGCCTCTAAATCGACGCATGCAAAACGAGAATGAATCGTCTGCTAGGGGACATGGAAAGATACACCGCCATGATTATTGTATTTTGTGCATGTGGAGAAGAGTAGTGGAGCGGGACCCTGCGAGACAAATATTATGCCTGCTCTGGCAAAGCACAATACTAAACAGACAAAGGGACGCATCTCAGAAAAGATAAGGGATGCTTCTCAGATCCCAGAGAGACATAACCGCTGCCAGCCAGTCAGCCAGTCAATGGTAACCACCTTAAGATTTGAGAGTGACTGATGCCCCTCCCTGCCCCTCCCTGCCCCTCCAAATCCCGTCACACAGCATACACACCCAGTTATACTGAAATGCTGCCCCGCACCGAGAACGACAAGCAATTAATTACCTTCCGTGCAAGACGTCCAAAAATGTTTGCGTGCATGCCTCTAAATAAAGGCGCCACCTTGATCTCCCTGACGATACACGAAGCCTTCGCGCCATCGGCGAAAATTAGCAGAGGATACAAAAGCTCGACGACTTCTCGCCGCCACTGCTCCGATCATCTGCGCGCTGTAACGAAAACCGACCACTTACCTTTGCCCAGAACATCCGGTACTCCTCGACGCCTCGTCGAGTCAAATCTTACCTACCTCAAGTTAATATCACAATGGCCTTTCCAACCAGGCAAACAACCGTCTTCACGCGGTCATTAAACCTGGCTGCATTTGGTGCAAATTTCAGTCCAGCGCTCGCACAACCACCTGCCATTCCCATTACAGCTTTCTTACGCACAAGGTGGAGGGTACTTGAAGAGAAGGTGCAAATTGTTTTGCACCTGCAACAGACCGGTGTCCCCCACCTAAACCTCCGGTTGAATCGACTCGCATCAAAACATCCTTCCCACCCGAGCGAAGTCGTACGACAGAAAGCTCAACAACTGCTCTCGGAACCACCTACCATTCCCATTAGAGCCAAATAAAGCTTACACGCAAGGTGTATCATCATACTTAACTGCTCTCGGAACCACCTACCATTCCCATTTGAGCCAAATAAAGCTTACACGCAAGGTGTATCATCATACTTAAAAAGGTGCATCTTGTTGCACCAGCAACAGACCAATGGTCCCGCTAAACGCCATGTCGGACTAGAAATGGACCAGGAACAGATCGGCAGTCCGGCTAGTTGCCCTTTTGCCCTTTTGAGCCACGAACAGACCCGAGCGTCCGCTCCTTTTGGCAACTAACAGTCCCCATCAAATAGCAACTGGGGCGCCGACAAGCACCTCAATTACAGATAAGCATTAACCAGCAAACAAAGAGAACTGGAGCGGCATCTCCAACTAGCCGAGGTGCATCGAAGATTGTACCAGAGGAGAGAGGGGACGAGCACGCACTTCTCCCTCGCGCGTGCTCGGCCAAGACTTCAACATTCCAAAGAATTTGAACTCCTGACCTTCAACTTGGACGACAAGCATATTCCAACATGACTAAGGCAGGTCCTAGGTTGATTCAGCACATAGGACCATATTATTTATTTCCCCTCAGGCAGAGGCCACAAAATAGGAGGGCATTCATTTATTACCCTCGCACAGAGCCCTCAACCGGCCATGGCCTCGGCTACCCTACCCACCCCTGTCCCCGGACCAACGAGCTCCGGAACAAAGCTGGTATTTCCTCTATTTCAGGAGACATCAGGGGAAGACGGCAGTGGTAATGACCGCCCGCCTCCACAAAACCAATCGATCGTTCGGTGCTGTGCCTCCGACACTAATCGAAACCAATCCATCGATTGGTATTGTGCAACTGACACTAGTTTTCCATGGCTGTTTTCTTCGGTCATGGAGAACATATATACGTGAACTCTGTCGGCGAGAACCATCACCAACGGTGCGGAAGCTTCATTGTCACTGACCGCTGAGGTAACTCGCAACGATTCACAGCGATTTGTGATGACCGAGAACACAAAGTGCCGCACAGGAGCACAGCAATCCTGCAGCGCATACCACCCACCCTCACTGGCATCCACACCCCTCCTCTACTACCACCCATTTGCAGTCGATGCTCCGACTCCGTTGCTATTCTCACCGCTGCAAAGCCCCACATAACATGCCTGCCAAGAATTAACAATTCGCATCATCTTAGGGGACAACCAATATCAGCGGCGCGTCCGCAGGACGGTGCCGAAGACCTCCATCCCATCCACAACTTAGCTCCCCCGATCGTCGGCAGTTGGACATTGAATGCATAGCTGGCATGTGGAAAATACCTGTGGAAAACACCAAAGCGCTTGTTCTGAAAAAGAAAAACACTAATTAAAAGTCATCATGACCATGTCGCTAACATAGAGGTAAGAATGCACACTTCACATCCGCTCACGAACTAGCAGCAGCATGCTTTACGAAAGGGGTCCCAAGCACAGAACCCCTGGGGGCGCAGCAAAGCGGAGCGTGTGATCAGAGCGCACCAATCGGTCACTCTGTCCCCACGGAATCGAAACTCGCAGATCCTTCCCTATGCCCGTCTACACGTCGACGGGCCTTGTTGTCTGTCCCCCCTTTGGATTTGTCAAACTTTGACTGAGAAGCAACCCTCCCTTACCCCCCCCCCTGCGCCGTCATCTTCGCCAACAGCATTCATTCGGTGCTGTAGTGATTTGCCCTTCTGTAATTATACTATGCCGAGTGCAGATGTAAACAAGAGGGACAGCCACGTCGCAGCAGCCACTCAGGTTTCGTCTCCACCAATTGTTTCCGTGTGCCACTGTGTATAAGAGTCTAAAGAAGACAAAAGCCTGGAGCAATTGCCCCGACACGCATGCGTGTAAACCAGGCAGTATCACCACTAAGGACAGAAATGAATATCCACAGACAAAAGCCTGCCGCAATAGCCTCAAAAGCCTGCAGCAATAGCCTCAAAAGCCTTTAGCAATAGCCTGACATGCGTGTATCAGGCAGTATGACCACTAAGAACAGAAATGAATATCCACAGACAAAAGCCTGCCGCAATAGCCTCAAAAGCCTGCAGCAATAGCCTCAAAAGCCTTTAGCAATAGCCTGACATGCGTGTATCAGGCAGTATGACCACTAAGAACAGAAATGAATATCCACAGACAAAAGCCTGCAGCAATAGCCTGACCTGACATGCGTGTATCAGGCAGTATCGCCACCAGGGACAGAAATGAATATCCACAGCTCCCGCACCCCAAACCCCCTCTTCCCCTGCTTCTCTGTGTGTCCTCCTATCACAAATTTGCTCTCCCCCTCTATCGGGGCACAGCGGCCCATTTCAACCACCCCATCCAACACCCTATTTTCGACCGCTTACGGATTGCCGAGTTTACCCTCGCTACAAGACAAGATCCTCCGCTACACACCCATGCTTCGCCAAATCTCTTCGGCAGCATCTGCAAAGATGACGTCGTGCCGTTCGATCAGCGTTTGGACAGCCGCAATGACCGAGAACTCGGCACTTGATGGCTCATCTTCCAGCGGAATCTGTGCAGGGTAATCATCGCCATCCTCTGGATGATCCTTTCGTGTGTCGTCTCCGTTGAGCTGCACTGCTCTGAAGATCGCAGTCAGCGATGCCGCCATGCCATTGTTCTCCGCTGCTTGAGTTGCTCCTCGCCTGCTAATCGAAGCTCCAGCGGTTGGCTTCGGCCACAGCAGCACTGGCGCAAACTCGATAGCCAACCTATGAGCATCCATCTGGGAATCGACAAAACGCACACCGACGGCAAAAGCCACAAAACACTCCGCAAAGTCAAATCACCATAGATGTCAGCGGGGCCGCAGCCCCTAAGAATGCAATTCAGCAAAGTAGACGCCAGCAAAAATCCGACGACGACAAAAACATAAGAGCAGCAACACACATAAACTGCAACTCGTCTAGGGCTTCCCCGAGAAACGTGGCACCTAAACCACCACTCCAAGGGTCCCTCCACCATTCATTTTTCTTGTAATCGAGTACCGGGCCGAACTCTACAATGCCCGGGCCCGGTAGAGGTTCCGTGGGGAAGGGTACACACAACTATGTTTCCTCAACGCAGCACTGCTGCCTAGCTGTAGATTTCAGGCTCGGGGAAATGCAAATTTTGGATCGTGGGTGAAGTTTAATAGAAGCAGACGAACCGTCAGAGACGAGGGGATATCAATATCTGACATCACCACCAAACGAAAAGCGCACAGATGTAAACTCTTGCATGGCCATGCAAAGTACTTCCTTGTTTGTATACAAGGTACATACCTTGTTCTCGGGTTAAGACGGCAGACTGCAGCTCTGTGGCCGCACTTCCTATACTCTATTCTAAGTGCTGATTAGTGTAATTATGTGATGTCCTGTTCGTGGTCCATGGAGAGACTAAAAAATCGGAATTGTGGAATGAATTTTAGGGTGCAACTTTCCTAAGGCGAAGGGAGGAAAGTAATAATATAAGAGGGACCCCCGCATGTGTGTCGTCGTAAGTAGGATTGTGGGGGATGCTGGACCCCACTTCCAGCTGGTGTAGCTTCCCGGCAACCACTACACGGGGGGGAGTGAGGGGGG